GGGGGGGGGGGGGGGGGGGTAAAATCGCCACTCGGAATAAAAATCCCTCCATCTGGGCCTTAATGGTAGAAAAACTCATTGCAGCACGTTCAGAAATATTTTTTCATGCCAGAGAATCGCAAATATTTACCAAATTAATTTAATGAAGAAATTTCAACATTTGAATTTATGATCAAAAAAATTAATTCGAAATATGACTATGCAGATGGAATAATCTCTTCTGATAGAAGCAGGCTTCTCAAAATTATCAAGGATGAGTAGGCTCAAAGATGAATGCAAAAAACATTCTAACTTGATAAGTTTTTGTAAATTAGTTGTTTCAAGAGATATTGATGAAATTATGAGTCAATTTCACTAAATAATGGTTTTTCAGAATTCTCAATCAATTGTAAATGATCTAAAATTATGAATTGATGAATCCATACCCAACTAATACGACTCCATGAGCAGTATAATTAACAGCATGTCCAAACGCCAGGGGGAAACCAGCCCGCGATCCTTCGACTATTGCAGCAATGGATGGTTGCAGCTGACGAGAAAATCCAGTCTGCAGGGATAATCCTGCGAGTAACTGCTGGAGAGCACTCATTCCACCCTCCACTACACTATTTTTCGGGTAAACCTTCCATAAAGCATCGTTTATGGCATCTATGAAGTCCTCTTCAGGTACTTTTAAGAGATTTTTGGCTTGATTAGTAGGGAGAGACCAGACAAGAGAACTTTGATTCTCTGAGAGCTAGGAAAAATTATGGAGAAAATCATTATTTCCATTTTTTTAAAATGATTATTTCGACCCTTCATATTCTTTATTTGAAATCAAATTAAATTCTTGATATATTTGTTTATGAACAGGGATACAGGGGTTTCAAGACGATGATAAATTTTCCACTTCGTCTCATCCGCCTTTAGTGGATGTAGGAAAAATCATGAGACGATCATTATACTTACAGGGAGTAATGCTATAGGACCAGTTGGAAGGAACCTCTGCCAAGCGACTACATTTTCTGTTGGCTGAAACAATGAATCAATTCATGAGTGCCCTAATAAAAACAGGATATTTCAAGCAAACGATGTGAAAGAATCTATCTTCAATATATGAACACATATTCGGTGACAATCCCAATTTTTATTTAAAAAAAACTCTCACTCTGTTCATGAAGCCTTATGAAATGTAAAAACGCTGTCTACGACTATGAACAAATTAGTTTACCAGAAAAAAAAAGCATCGAAAAGTTTCCGTCCAACTTTTATTTCTCGATTTTTGCTATGAAAATGAAATGTCGTGGAAAAACAATCATTATTTTTGGGAAATGCAGAAAATTCATAATCGGAGACTGTTTTCAATTTTTTTTACTATTTTTAAACATTCAATTTAATAGGAACCAGTTAGCTTATGAGATATTCGCAAAATAATCTCTTCGGACCGAATGCGCCGAGTTGAAACAGGATTTTCTGAAAATTTTTAAAATACATCTCAAGGCCCGGTGTTTATCTAAATTTTTTTTGTCGATTTTTTCATCTGCAAATTTCCATTCGGTTTTGCATGATGCAGAGAATCACAAAAAATCTGGATGTATGCTTAAAAGAAAGTAAGACAAGTTGGAAATTGCTCTTGTATTGTATACAATATAGTTATTTTTGTTAATAAATTAGCAATATGCTTCCGAATGATTATTTTGCACATCATTGCCTTCTATTATGTATAATTCATTGTTTATTTCATCTTATTAAATTGAATGAGATTTCCTTTTACCTTATTTCGTTAGATTTTCAACTTAGTCGAATGTTATTAACGTAATTATTATTATCCCTTTTCTTCTATACAACCGATTGTCTTTTTTACAGTTATATCTCTCCCCTCAGCCCTTCGATGAACTGTTAATAGAAAAATTTCATTTACACACACTTGAATGAATTTGACACATTATGTTTGAAGAAACCATTAGAAAGGTCACTTTCAAAGAAATTAATGAAAAATTAAAATTTTTTAACAGTCCTCATAAAAATCCAATCAATCAATATAGCTATCGTAATTAACTTTTAACTTTGACTTAATGACATTGAAACAAACATTTTATTCGAAGATATCCCCGGAATTCTAATTTTCAATAAATACAAAATTTTTGAAAATTTTCTAACAAATCAAAATGACGACTATTGCTATCGCCTTCATCTTCGAACTTGGTCAAAGGGACATCCACACGAAGTTTTTAAGCCATCATTCAATCAATTCAGATCATTTTTGCTAACGAATGGAAGCATTGCAATCCTTTGATTTTCACATTCTCTAATTTTGTTTGTAAATGATGTAGAATGGTCTGAAACGTAAAAATACGAAGTTTGGCGACCATGTCTGTATGCGACCACGTCCACCACCACCTTCCCAGTGGTCAATTTTTAGAAAATTGAGTAATTAAGTGGCTAAAGTAATTCCAAAAAATCTGAAATTTTGTCAGATTAGAGGTCCTAAGGACTAGCTCTGTGCAAAATTTCAGCCCGATGGAGCTAATAGTTTTTGAGAAAAAGCGATTCATTTTTAAATCGTTTTGCGCAAATATCTTCAAAACTAGTGGACCGATTTCGATTTTTTTTTTCAACATATTCGTTTCGACGCCTTCTATCTAAATTAATCAAAATATATATACCCGTTCATACGAAGTATTCAAAACATTGGAATTTTGATAGTACCCATGAACGTGACAGTAACCATCTGAAATATTTGCTGCTAGTTAGTGTTGTGAAGCTATAAACTTTTGTAATATTTCAAATGATTCGGAAGCCCGCCATCAATGTATTGATGGCGAAAAAAATAAGATATCACTCTGTGACATGCTCACTGTCACATGGCGCGCTGTCATATGCTCGCTGTCCCCCGCTTGTTTTTACTTATCATGGAATAACCGATTTATTATTATTGCCTTGAGAAATACCTTAATGAGAAAGGGTTTAATCAAAATACCAGAACAATGTTTATATAAGGTCTTCAATTTCCCTCAAAAGTACATATTTCGACATTTTTCTCCAAAGCCACCAATTTATAATTGTCGCCAATAATCTTTGATTATACCTCTGATAATTTGAGTGTAGCAACAACCCCCATTTGTTCATAATCCCAGGAGACATACTGAATCCCCATGGCCTGTCTCACTCGAGAATTAACTCCATCAGCACCCACCTGCAACACAAAATGTATGTTAACAATCAATTCTGTATGAAAATACGTAATTTGTAAATTTTCTGACTCCACAAACATAAAGAGGATTTCCACGAAAAAGGTCAAGACACCTCTTTTTGCTTCCAAATGCCTTGTATTTGACCGATTTTTCGATTTTCTCATTTTGATTGCAAATGGTCTGTAATGTTATGAAACGTAAAGAAATTATGTTTTTACGGTTATGTCTGTATGTATGTGAAACCTTGGGTTTTTGATGATTTCAGAAAATTCAACATAAATATAGTGAAATTTGTAGATAAAAATATGTAATTTTGGCTCATTGTAGCTATTATTGAGCTTAACTCTGACGCGCTGATTTAGCCCGATCGGTCCACTAGTTCCTGAGAAATAACAGCTTCTTTAAATTTCGTTTTTTCTCAGTATCTCAAAAACTACTCCACCTATTTTAATTTTTCTTCTTGCAAAATACTCGTCTCAATTGCAATTATCTACAGGGTGTCCCATTTGAAACAATGCACCCAAATATCTTCCAAGGGGGGCAAGTGATAGGAAATTTTCAGGGACATAAGTTGTAGGGTTCCGAGGAGGACATTTGATGCATGCATTTTTTGAGCTTTCAGGATCATACTTGCAAGCTGCAAGCAAAAGGAGCTTTTTTTTAAATGGCAATCGCATTTTTTACCCCAATGAAACTTGTTCTCCTTGATGAGTTGTTTTTAAATACCTCATCATTCATGTGAACTCCTTTAATTTTACTCGGAGAATTCTTTGTACTCTGCTCCGTGGTACACCTAAATCTCGTTCAATTTCTCTCAAACTGATGTGTTGATTCATGTGAATCATAGCGAGAATGGCAACAGCTCGTGGATCATCAGGATTAATACCTTGTTGTTGTGGTTGTTGTCGTCGAAAAGTTCGTCCTCTCCTACAATTCCTTTCAATGTTCCGAATTACTGCATCTGTGGGATGACGTCGGCGATTAGGGTACCGTTCTCGATATGTCTGGGCAGCGGTTCGATAGACTCCGCGGCACTCTCCTAATACGAGTAAAATATCGACAATTTCACTCGCTGAATACATCGTGATGTGTTCAATGAAATTACAGGGGATACTAACTCGATTCTGGTTGAATTGAAACTGTTTCGAATAGCAGAATCCTCGAGGTAATGGGGAATTCTTTGTTATTGTTTACATTCCATAACTACGGTTGGTAAATGGATTAGCAGAACAATCATCTACGCTAAGACGCGTCAAGGATGTGTGAATCTTCAGTTTAATAACAGAACTCATTTTCGTCGCATTCTCCGAGTAAAATCGATGGAGTTCACATGAATGATGAGGTATTTGAAAACTACTTATCAAGGAGAACAAGTTTCATTAGGGTAAAAAATGCGATTGCCATTTAAGAAAAAGCTCCTTGTGCTTGCAGCTTGCAAGTATGATCGTGAAAGCTCAAAAAAATGCATGCATTAAATGTCCTCCTCGGAACTCTACAACTTATGTACCTGAAAATTTCCTGTCACTTGCCCCCCCTGGAAGATATTTGGGTGCATTGTTTCAAATGGGACACCCTGTATATTAATTAAAATATCTGATTATTATCTACAAATTTGACCGGATTGATGTTGAATTTTCGAAAAATTAATCACCAAAAACAATTGTTCCACGTTTCACGACATTCTGTAGACCATTTGCAATCAAAATTAGAAAATCGAAAAATCCGTCAAATACAAGGCTTCCATTCGAAAGCAAAAAAGATCTCCTTATAGCTCAAAACCATTCGTTCCCGAGGTAATTCAACGCTAAAAAACGAATCAGAAATCAATAGAAAGAAGGGAATAAAATGTCAGAAAAATGTAATTCAGTAATGAAATTGTGAGTGTTTTTTTTTGTATTGGGAACTCTAAAATTGGCGAAAAAGCACTATTTTTATAGCGTAAAATGAGAACTACAAAAAAGAATTTTGAATTTTTCACTATCGCTCCTAAATTCAGGGACATTTGTCGCTCTCTGAAACTCACTTGTTACAGTATTAAATTTCGTCATCCTCTCTTACCACTTCAAAATTGATTCAACTCCAATTAGTTATTTATTTACGGAAAAATTAAGTTCTATGTCCTCTAAATTAAGTTCTATGTCCTATGTCGAATTACTGGCCAAGAGGCAACAAATTCACGAGTTTTTATATTCCATCGTGTATTCGATTGCATCAGGTCATTGTCTTCGTCGCACACCTGCGAGGCATCGGGTGACGTCTCTCGGCGCGCGCGAAGGCCAGTCGTCGGGGCGCGAAACGCTGACACTGCACCCCAGTTATCCACATTCGTCGAATATACGTGGTTTTGAAACACGAATATTCGACGTTATTTTATATTTCTTCATTCCCTGTTTTGTTTCGAATAATATGTGCTACTTTCGTGTCCTCATATTATCCGGATCAACAGAGGAATTTCATAACGTTATTTCGGGGCATAACAGTTTCCCGTTGGATTTTGTTTTGTTTTGCATTGTAGAATCCAAGTGGAAAAAACTTAGAAAATTGATGCCCAAGCATTCTTTTGAAAAAATCTCAAGAGAAAAATTTTAACAGAAATTCGAAATCTATTGACTTTTTCTTATCTATTATCCAATAGAATCAGCGCAAAAAACAAATAGATTTTTTCAATAGAATTCCAATAGAAATCCTATAGAAACCCCATAGAATTCCTATAGAATTCTAATAGAATTTTCTTGCGAATTCGCTAGATTTTATATTAAATTTTGTCATAGGTGTATGATCATGAATCTAAATTGGAATAATTTTCCGAGAATTTAGAAATCTTCTTTTCGTCATACGAAGAGTTATTCAAGATGAAACTCTCACCCTTGGTATAAATAATTTCACTCGGACCATCTGCTTTTCTCATAACTAGATTTGTGCGCGCGCTTTAGCGCGCGCTTATCTTTTTGTTGTGAAAATGAAGAAATCGAATTTATTAAACTTCATATATACTCATAGATGTTTTATAAATATTGATAATGACTTAAAGAGAATTAAGAGAATGAAGAAAATAAAGAGTGAAGCATCAATGAATAATTTTTAATCTTCGATCAATTTTTTTTTACTGTTTAAAATAATCTGATTAAAATCTGTAATTGTTGAAAAATCAGGGGAGGCTTATGAATTGATTTCCTAGAAACCTGAAAAAATTTCTTGAATTCTTCGGAAGATTTCACAGTTTTCTAGATAACCGTAGATCACAGATTTTTCTCGAATTATTTGGGAAACCGAAGAATTTTCGTGAATTTTGTAGAGTTTAGAATTTATGGATGAAAATCTGAGAAGCAAGAATTGATCATTTTGGCGTGTGATAAATATGAAAAAATTAAAATTTGGGAAGTAAAGAATAATTTGTGAGTTAAAAAAATTTAGAAATATATACTATGTTTTTTCTCATGATCAACAATTAGGCAATTTAGATATGTTTTGATATAAAGATCAACTTCACACGTGAAAAAATGAAAAATATGGTGCACAACAAATTTTTGACATTTGAAGAATTTGAAAATACCTTTTTTTCAGCGCCTCCTTCACGTGACTCATTGACCAACCAGAATTGAGGATTAGCGGTCAGGCAGTTTCGAGATATTTCGATATAAAACAACTTCACGTTTCTTTCATCTTTAGTAAATAGGATAGGGTATCTCCTACTTTTTTATTTTATAAATAAGAAACGAGTTAGTACAGACCACATCCGCTGTGCGAGTGATACTAGTAGTGAATCAAACGCGTTGGTTGCATTGCCCACAGAAATAGATAAGACTTTTCCGCAAATAATGAAAAATGGTGGATAATTGAGATAAAAACGGAGCAGTTGAGGAATTCTTCGACACTCTTTCACTAAGTTTGGTTTAGAACAAGAACAAGGTTTTGACTGGGATCTATATATAAATTTCGTATGTCTATAAACATAATGGTGGAACGTTGGTGGGGAAGAAGCATGTTGAATGGATGGGGCGTGGGTTCCACGATTCCTCACAGCGTTTTGAAATAAATATATAGATCAAGAGGCCTCTTCGAAGTGGAAGCATGTCAGAGACAAGGAGTGGCAGATCATCGAGGAGAAGCGGTCGAGATGTCAAGTCTAGTTCATCGAGAAGAAATGGAGATTCTAGGGCTCAATCTATCGAAATGATTGATTTGAGAACCGCACACATGGAGAATCAGGTGAAATCTTAATTTTAAAACTCCACGGAGGGATTTAATTGCTTTTCTAAAAATATCGCGTAGGAGTTAGTTTATGAAAAAGAGCGAAGGATCCAGGAATTTGTAAAGATTACTGTAAAAAACTCCTTTCTTCTCAGTCACATAAAATCCACATACAAAAAATGTAATTAAAAAACCTGGCACTTTCTCCAAGATATTATTTTGAATTTCAATAAGAACTCTACGAGAATACTATTGGTGTTCTACTAGAATTCTATTGGAAGTTTTTAACTTCCCAGCAGGGAAGTTATTGTAATGGCCCCGAAAATCAAAAATCGATTTTTCATCAAATCTCCATGTTTCAAGGTCTTTTCGATGTTCCTAGACAATTTTAAACGAAATGTCTGTCTTTGTGTGNGTATTTCGAGTTAAGAGAAATATTATATGAAAACAAATGCTGAGATCAGTGGTGTACTTCGTCTCATGAAAAAGCGACACATTTCTCATGAACGCGACATCTTTTGATTGACCAAGTTTTTGCGTCTACTTCCGGCATGTACACCGACTGTGTCGAACCGGCGTGTGCTTCGATAAACTTATCAAGTGAGAACTGTGTTTACCAAAATGTCGCTTGAGTATGACTTTACGACCAGTGCGGAAATCGATACTTTCCTCCCTGGCAATGTAATGATGTGAGTATAGTTATGAATATCATGTAATTAAAAGCAAGGGTTTCTCATGAACAAATAAACAGAGTATTGAGAGTTGAAAAGGATTCTTTTAGTAAAAATGGGAGGAATAATAATATCGGGAA